GATTCCTATAAAGTATATTCATTACTCGTTATTCTCTACTAATAGTTAATTAAAGACTGTATATAATGACTATTTTGCACATCCCTTTCAAGATTTCAAGATGTTCTAAGGTTTATTGACATATCATACACAAACGGTGTAGTTATACAATGAATGGAGGCGTTTGGCGTAGTGGATAGAGCCTTGGTGTTGGGATCAGGGGGTTCAAACCCCTCTGCAGTCAGCATGTCGTTGTGTCCCTGGGCAAGACACTTCACCCTAAATTGCTCATGTGGGGATTGTCCACAGTATTGAGTATGTAAGTCACTTTAAATAAAAGCGTCTAACAAGTAACATGTAAATGTAAACGAATGAAAAACTTGGGTCGCAGGTTCCTCAACAGTGCATTACAAAACATCTATCAATATTTGTGCATACCTCCAGCAATGTTAACTATGTTGAAGCACTTATTTTAACTGATATTATACATATCTTATAAGATTTATGTAGATATTTAATCTCCGGCCTTGTCAGGTATTGAGCAATCAATAAATAAAGAACACATAATTATTCAATATAAAACACAGAATGTGTGTGATTATACTAAATGATTTACAAATAAACACCACTGCATATGTAACGCAAATGTTTCCAACTTGGGATCAATAAAGTATATCTTATCTTAAAATGATAGATGGCTACGCCATATTTGCAAAATGTGCCTCTGAACCTTGACAAGTGCATGTTTCAGGCTTATCAATTAACAACAGGAGGGGTCACAGACATAAGACCAGTTGTTAAATAAAGCTCTTCTGACCTTATGTGGGTATATATATTAATGCTGCCCATTATGGGCACAAGCAATTTTCACCCATTTATTAATTATATGTTTTAAATTTGAGTGTTTCCTATCGAATAAAACGAAGTTCGGCCATGTTTTTTTTTTCTGCAGGGAGAAATGTGAAGATCACGTGACATAGACACCAGCCATTGGAATGAATGGTGAAAAAAAACGTAGGGTTCTTACAATTTCAGAGGCGTTTTTGTAGAAATACTACGTCCTACGCAAGGCCGGATTAACCATATGGGCAACCTGGGCAAGTGCCCAGGGGCCCTTGAGCAAAGAGGGCCCTCAGTGACAAGATAAAAAAAAAGAAAAAATATATTTTTTTTTTTTTTCCGGGCACAACCTCTCTCATCATACATTGTTTTAAATGACACTCACTCTTTGCCATAAATAACACAGCTTTTCCATAGGGTCAAATTACTTTAGGTCTCTGTACTGTAGGTCTCACTATGTATGCGCTCAACTTTATTACTACGCGGCGGCGGTGTGAAGCCGAATCACAGCCCCACCCTTGAGCAACCACACAATTTCACTACATATTTTACTTGTGTAACTCTCTGTGTTTGTGACAAATAGAACACCTCGTGTACTTGTACAGCCAGTCAGTCATATTTTGGCATTAAGTGGGGTGCTGTTCTGAGGTTTTGATTGATATTACCTAGGTCTTCTTGAGCCATACACTGTCTTGAGATCTTATCCATTGTATCTTTGTCTTGTGATTTCTGACCAACGTAGTTATTACACGTTTTTTTTGTGAGACTGTGTTGGGTACTCGACTACATGCATTTTGCCATGTTGCTGTGTTTCCAGAGAGCAGCAGATCTCAATAAAAATGATGGCAAGAGCTACTAAAGTCAAAACACCTTTCATTAGTAGAGTATGGTGATTAGTAACATCAGAGGACATATACTATACATGTAGTGAACTATATTCTTTAAACTATTTATGACTTTGGCTACGAGGGAGTGAAGTCGGTTTTCAATCAGAAGGTTGTGGGTTGTCAATTTATCATTAGGCAAGAAACTTAACCCTGAGTGGCTCTCGACGGCTTGGCCAATGGTGTAAGAATGTGTTGTATGAATGTTAGCTTTCATGAGAAAAAAGTGGCATATTGCTCTGCATGAATGAGGTGTGAATGGGTGAATGATGAATGGTAGTATGTAAAGCGCTTTGAGGGTTCGTAGAGTTTGGATAAAGCAATATACAGTCCATTTAACATTTATTCATCAAAATACCAGTAAAACAGTATAGACGGATTGAAAAAGGAAAGGCTTCAAAACTTCTGGAGCCTACTTTTCCCATAATGCAGCTCCATCATGTCCTATTGGTCCCTGTGTGCCTGGTACGCACATCTTTCTGCACCACAGTTTGTAATGCCGGCTTTCCTTTTTTCTTTAGACTTTAGAGTTTATCCATGCCCAAGCAGGGACAGACTCTACTTTCTCCGACTCAATAAAGCTCTTCAGAGCCACACAAAGACATATTACAGAGTTTTCACAGCGGAATTCCTGTTGCAAGAGTACACTTAAAAGAGAAAAATCAGTGTAGTTCCCTGTAAATAGATTATTTAGGTATTTCTTACTTTCCACAGCTACCCACACATGGATGAATACATCCTTTGACCATCTCACACAGTAGTCACAGCCCCCCCCCCCATCAAAGACACTGTGCACCATCATCTATTACAGGCAGCCAAAGGAGCCATCAGATCCCCTGATCCACAATGCATTTATCTCTAGTAGTGACAGGGATCCCCAGCACTGAGCGTGTGGTCAGGAGACCGAAGGCTTTCTGCCCACGTTCTCTGGTGAGAGCCCTGCTTACTCATGTGTACAAGTACTTGATTTATGTGGCCACAAGGAGGTTATATAATATGCATGTAACTCCAGAGACTCAGCTTTACATAACACATCATCTGATATTCCCAATAGATTTACTACAGCAGTGGAGTGACTGTTAGAGATGTCTGATGAAATAGAGCTCAATACTCTCTGAGGCACCGGAGGGACTTATTCTTTGGTTTAGTAAAAGTAGAAGCTTTCAAGTTTTCTGAACAGTCTACTTTTGGCAGTTTTCTTGACAACTGTAGTATTTGCAGATTTTTATAATGTATATAGTATCCTATTTTTATATATGTATGTTGCAGATTGGTCTAATATAGAGTATTCTAACGATGCGGGAATGGCGAGCGACGTCCTCGGCCATTCCGCGGAGGGCGCACCGAGCCTCAGTCCGTGTGCATGAGGCAGCCACGGGCGTCTCCAAAAATCCCCGGCATTTCGAGAAAAACTGCGTTTTTTGCCGAGTTCGGTTCAGTCTCGGATACTTCGCGAGACTTATGTCAGGGTCACCAATGTACTGCCGAGAGATAGGAGTCGGAGGCGGTGCATCGAAGGTGCAAAAGTTTATTGAGCAGATAAGTATATGTTGTCCGGTTGCAGTCCGGGAAGAGAAGAGGAAGAATCAAGACACAATATATACAGTTAGTAACACAAATGTCTGGGCGGAAACAATACCCCCAACCTGTAGTTCCATGAGTGAATTATGTAATACAGTGGTCACCACAATATCTAAGTTGTTCGTGCCCCAGCAGTTTGTAAATTGCAAAAACGGGAGATAAACGTTTCTTTTTTGCCCCAAATGTTCTCAACCTAGTGTCTTCCTCATGGCGGGTCGATCCAGCTCCCAGAGTCCAACTATATATCTCACACAGCTGCTAATAACAGTAAAAGGCAACAAACACCCGAAAGGAGTGACATCAGTTTTGACCCTGCCTCCTACCACCTGCCTAAAGCAAACTCATGTCTGTCCACAATTCATAAAACAAAACTGATACAGACATATCATAACACCGCATAACAGAACGGCTTCAACGGGACGGACAAAATCCCTGAGTTGTGTTGTAAGGTGGAGTGACTCGTAGAGCTACAAGGAATTATAAAGTGGATGATAAAGGCTTTCCAACTTTTTCAAGAGTTAGACTTGACCTGAAAACTATTAATGATCCCTCTCTATCTCTCTCTCTCAGTGGGATACCTGGGAAGAAATGTGGAAGCATCATCTTCACAGCCGAGGAGCTCAGTAACTGCAGAGTTAGTATCAGATCTCACACACACACACACACACACACACACACACACACACACACACACACACACACACACACCCAGTCTTACAGTGCGCACCATGTTATTTGCAAACATATTAATTTGAATCCATGCCAGCAATGAATTGAATACTGAAGAAGCAGTTTGCTTAAACTGAATTAGGTGTTATCTTTCACAGTGATTCTCCGTTCCTCCGTGCTTTCCGCTTGCGCCTCGGCGTTATCAGTTATTATTTGTTCTCAACAAAGAGAAATGTGTGAATTTAAAGTGTCACCAACCACGTACGTTTTTCTCTTAATGTTGGAGAGTTGACAGCTCTGGTAAACACACAATAACAGACACCTTACAGCAGGTGTTTCTTCTTCGCAAGTCTCAATAGCATCCACCTTCTTATCTAAATCCAGGGCTTCGACCATTTTGAAACATACGTTGTTGCTTGTTTTTGTAGCTTTTTTGTGGGGAGTCACGAGCCAAAAGGTTAGAGCCGCTGCTCCAATCTTTAACAATGCACTGTAGTTTATAAGATTAGTAACATTATTTTTTCATGTAATATTATAATATGGAAAGTAACCATAAACTAGAGCTGTTAAAAAAGTAAAGTTGAGGACAAGTATAGTTCAAGTCCTTTAAGCGTTCCAGCTAAAGTGTGAGTGAACTATTGTTTGTTTAATCTATAATTCAGTTTGTCTGAATTGAAACATGTTCTGTTTTTGTTCTCTCAGGACAACGCCACCATGCAGCTTTGTGCCAACAAACTGGATAAAAAAGATTTCTTCGGCAAGTCTGACCCTTTCCTCGTCTTCTACCGGAGCAACGAGGACGGAACGTACGTGTGTTTGTTTGTTTAAAGACATGAAGTCCCTTGTAGTGCACTCCCTCTGTTTGTCCTTCAGCAGATGTGTATGTGCCGCTCCTCTGTCACGACTCTTCCCCGTCACTGACAGATACTGAAACCTGTGCACAGAGTTCTCTGTGTGATCCAGACCCAGGAGGCGTTTGAGAGCCTGTTGCCCATCAGATGGAAGAAGAGTTAATAGATTTTCTTGACACTGAGACAGAATGCTCCAATCTGTACTTACTGTAGTGTATCCTTCAGTATTTGAAATCTTCAGTCAGGGATCAAAACCCTCTGTGAGCCTGTTGTGTTTCTGCTGACCAAGATTTGATGCATTTGAAATGTATTCCAAGAGAAATGTGGGTTTCTGAATGAGCTACCTTTCAATACTCACTCAGAAAGGCACATTATTAGTAATACACATGTACACACTGCTGGTACCATTTAACCTGTATAGTTATTTATAGAAAGTTCTAATGTTGGGCTTTCTCTGTTTGTCTCCAGGTTCACGATCTGCCATAAGACTGAGGTGATCAAGAACAATCTGAACCCTGTCTGGCAGCCGTTCACCATCCCTGTGCGAGCGCTCTGTAATGGAGACTATGACAGGTGAGGCCACAGCACAGGGGTCAGAGGTTATTACCATCCACTACTACCTGTGATTGTTGTTGTGTTACCTGATGTTTATCCTCTTGGTTTCAAGCATATTTAACACCCCCTCTTGGCATCAAATGTTGTTCATATTATATTAGTCATGGATTTATTGGAAGTTATGGCCGGAGAACTGACAAAGACACTTGCTGCAGACAGGAAGTGACACAGCTCCTTCCCACCAATTCTGAAGATCTCTCCCCCAGTCCCATGTATTTAGCTGGTTCTGAGAGAATAGTCAACATTCTGCATGGCAAGACATAACAAACATACCACTATAAGCTCTATCAGCTGACCTACAGGCAGGAATAAGGAGACACAACTGCTTTCTCAGAGAGAGAGAGAGAGAGAGAGAGAGAGAGAGAGAGAGAGAGAGAGAGAGAGAGAGAGAGAGAGAGAGAGAGAGAGAAAGTGATAAACTCAAAGTTATAGGCCTAGGAAAATATTTTCCTCATCAGTATTTAGTTAGGATTGGGGCTGAGAATGTTAAACTGAAAAACTAGACTGCATAAGCAAGTGTTGAATTAAACTCACAGAAAAAAATATACATTTACATTACATTTCATTAGCTGATGCATTTATCCAAAGTGACTTACATTTTGTGAAATAAGAGCCTCCTCTATGTAAGGACACTATGTATCATCAGATATTTACATATATTAGTTGAGTCAAACTACTTAATATGGTTCATATTTACTAAATTCTTCCAAAATTGGGCCTTTAGACATAGTACATCTTTATTTTACTCAGGTGCGGAGGTCCAGTAGCATTTCAATAGACTGAATCATTTAATTTAGTTATTAAGCTTTTATTTGGAGAAACGTGTTGGATTCTGTGACCTGCTCGGCTGCTACACAGTACCACACATATAGCTGTTTTGGGGAACTGCATTTTGGGAAACTCTCCTAACTACAAATACAACACAAATATAAAAAATGTAATACAGCTTGGCTGAGGCATAACCCACAGTCACTCACAGTGAGTGAAAAAGGACAGTAACACTTTAGGTACTTTTGAGTATTCCAAAACAAGAAACCTATATAATTGACCTCCAAACATTTATTAGTAATGTGAGAACACGTCGTAATGTTGCTTTCTTAACCATTTAATGTTTCCTAAGTAACAAAATGTGATCAGAGCCTGCTGAATGAAGAGGAGTTTGGAGTCCGTGCTGGTCAGAATAATGCCAGCAGTCGGCCGTGCTTCAGTCTCAGGCCAGTGCTGGTGTTATTAAGACCAACATGGAGGACATGCATCGGCAGACTCATCTCTCTGACTCACACACAAAACAAATGATCTCCAAAATATTTACTATTTTAAGCGACATACTTTTATTGCGTGGTCTGGAATGTAATTTAATAAGATTTAGATCAGATTTTCTGTACTCATCCCAATTTGGGAAAAAACACGAGGGTTCATCATCATCCTGTGATATGAAAAATAAGAAAGACAGTGGTGTAAAGTAACTAAGTAGATTTAATTAAGTACATTTCTAAGGTACTTGTACTTTACTTGAGTATTTCCATTTTATGTTATGGTTTGGTACTTTTACTTGAGTAACATTGCTAATGCAGGACTTTTACAGAGTAATACTGCACTTTGTTATTTCCACTTTTACTCAAATACAAGATCTGACTACTTCCTCTACCTCTGAAGAAAGATTGACTTTCTGTCTTACAAAAACTCTGACCTCCCTCTTCTGTCTCTCCCACTTCTTTTTTGTCTCACACTCTCCGTGGTTCTCAACTCTGTCTGTCTCACCCCCCCCTCCCTCCTCTCGCCCCCCCTCAGGACAGTCAAGGTGGACGTATACGACTGGGACAGAGACGGGAGGTAAGATCTCACGCTTTACTTTATATTTAATTATCAGCTCTAGATTGAATCCCTCAGATAACCCTCCGTCCCCCCGGCAGTCAGACTTGTTAATAGACATAAAAACTGAGGTTTGTCTCTACCCGTCTAAAGTTTGAAGGAACAATCCACTTTAAATTTGTGTGGAACTTTATAAATCCCCAGTCCTAGTTTTCTTAATTCCTATCACGTATTCTGCAAGACAGGAAAGTAAAGATAAATGTCTTGCAGTGCTCCAGTCTGACGCAGTCATCATCAGGCAGTAATACCCTGTCAGTCGTTGTTATGGTTTGACAGGCAACTCTTTTGTCTTTCAGTGAGTCATGACAAGGATCTCTAACAGTGTTGTGAAGATAATACATTATCAGTGACTTTAGACAAAGAAAGCTGTGTTAACGTGGAAAAGGGAAGATGTCTGCTATACTGGTTTGAAGGATGTATGGCAGGATGGAGGTATCATATAAGGCAGGTTTCTGCCTCAGCTGATTCCAGCCCCCCAAAGAATTGGATTTAAATTGAGCTGAGATGATTGTGTGCTTGATGGGGATCATTGAGATTCATGGGAATGTAGGAGCGATTTGCCTGGGCTGATCAGGACCTGAATGGTTTGACCTGAGATGCCTAATAATCTGGCGGCCGTACCAGTGCAGAAGGAATAACTTGAAATGTGTTCTGAATATATGCCTAGAATGCTTAGGACTTTATGTAAATGCTCCCAGAACCAGAAATGAGGGGCTATTTCTCCCTGTATCGGTGGGGGAGAGTTTTTTTAGATGATGCCTTGAGTCATACTTGGATGTATCTAGGTATAACATTCTTGGCATGTTAAGAGATTCCAAGCTTGTTTTGAGCTGAGTGTGAATGAAAGTGTGTGAAGTTTGGATGGTTGTGCCAGATAGACTGGGATGATGAGAAGTGTTATAGACAGATAAAGACAGGGCTAAATTGAAGCACCTCAGTTGTTTTAAACAGAGGTCGATAACGTGCTTAGAGCAGGGCTGTTAATTATGTGTTCTCCCAAGCGTAAGAGAGGTGTCCGAGCTGTGGAGATCACTGAAAGTTGCTGCTGAAAACAGTGGGACTGGTATAGGATGAACAAGGGGCAAAAATCTAAATTCCCCCCTTGCTGCTTGAGAAAACTGCCCATAGAGGATTTAATGACAATCACCTGTTGCATTCTCCCCCTGATTGAAGTAACTGACTGCAGATCTGATGAGGGGCAGGTCTGAGTTTTAGTACCGTGTCAAGCAGATCATGCAATAACACAACAACAATACCAAGAGTCCCTACAGCTGTCTGTGGCTCTTTCCTGCTGTAACGCTGCAAATTTCCCCTCTGTGGGACTAATAAAGGTATTCTGATTCTGATTCTGATTCTACAAATATCAAACTTATATATGACGCTTCCCCCACCCACCTGGCATATGTAATCTAGCATAATAAATGACACAAAATGCCAAACTTTGCCATAATAACAACCTTGAAAAGAACATTGAAAACAAACATAACAAGTGTGGATCTCATTACCTAATATCCTTTAATTATGACCCCATCCCAATCACATTTTAGATTTGTGTCCAGCATTGAGATGTACGGTGGCCCTGAAGTTCAAGTCAAAACAGCATTTCAGGAAACACCACAGCATTTCAGAAAACACCACAGCACTTCAGGAAACACTACAGCATTTCAACTTATACGGAAAGGGTATTCCTTATAGCCAGCCAGAGAAGCACTGCTGTGATTGGTTGTTTTTGCTGCCAGTCAAGAAATTATGCTTTGTGATTGGTCAGCACCCGACAGCGCAACATGTCCCGAAACATCAGCCGTTAGCAGTTAGCACACACTCACAGCTCCTCATATCTGTTCAGAAACTGACAAAAGTTAAACATGAACACACCACAGACTGTCTATGTCATGGCTAATACAGTCGTTGCTTTATTTATGTCTGCTTGCTGTTGTTGTGAGTGTGGACGGAGCAGCTACAGGTTAGTTTATCCTGATCGATCTGATCTCCATTCAGAAAACATGCATTTTAAAAGCTTTTCGCCTGCCGTCTTGTCTGCAGACTTGTCACAGCATTCATTCATGGTTTTCACTAACTGGTATCAGTGTGTTGTTACTTCGGCATCATTTTGAAACGTGTATTACAATTAAATCACGGCCATCACATTATGCAGGGTGCAGTAAGCACTGACATATTTAATTGACATGCAAACATTCTACTAACTGCTTTATGCTAATAAAGCTGGAGAGACGCCGTTTGCCTGAAGAATGGAATGGATTGAAGGCTTGGGCTCGCTAACTCAGCCCCGGGGTTTGCTGAGGTCAAGCTAGTAACATTAAGGCGTGCTGCTGCAACGGCAGGTGCAGGGTCGCCAGCAGCACCATCGGCTGTAGTTCTTTCATCTGGATTTATTTGTAATAAATCCTTAGACCTACTCGTGGTTTAAAGCCAATTTCTGATGTTCATTTTGTAATTTAAACAGAAATGGGAGTCTACAGAATGCATAATAAAAAACAAATCCAGAGTAGTGTGACGCTGTGATTGGCCTAAATGTGGACGAATCACAAATCACAAAAGACACATTAATTGATTTGACGTAGCCTACGATCTTTTTTTGTAGTTACTATCTGACATCACATACATCGTAGCATTAAAGTTCACAGGTTATTTATAAATAATATATATTTATTTTTAAACGTGTTTATTGGGGGAGGGCAGAAATGTCAAATGGGAGGGCCTGGCCCTCTCTGGCCCTCCCACGGTGCCGGGTCTGTTGTAGCTGCTCCGTCCAAACTCACAACAACGGCCTATACAGACATAAATAAAGCAGCGACTGTACAGTATTCACCATGACACAGACAGTCTGTGGTTTGTACTACTCTGTTTCTGAACAGATATGAGGAGCTGTGAGCCCTGAGGGCTAACAGCTAACGGCTGAAGTTTCGGGACATGTTGTGCTGTCGGGTGCTGACCAATCACGAAGCGTCATTTCTTGACTGGCAAAAAAAACAACCAATGACCAGCTTCTCTGGCTGGCTCCAATGACAAACAAGAAGTGTTCTCCCTAAAGGAATACCCTTTCCGTATAAGTTGAAATGCTGTGGTGTTTTGTGAAATGCTTTGGCGTTTTGTGAAATGCTGTGATGTTTTGTGAAATGCTGTAACGTTTTGTGAAATGCTGTGGTGTTTTTGGAAATGCTGTGCTGTTTCCTGAATTGCTGTGGTGTTTTGTGAAATGCTGTGGCGTTTTGTGAAATGCTGTAGTGTTTTGTGAAATGCTGTAGTGTTTTGTGAAATGCTGTAGCGTTTTCTGAAATGCTGTAGCGTTTTTTTAAATGCTGTAGTGTTTTCTGAAATGCTGTAGCGTTTTCTAAAATGCTGTAGTGTTTTGTGAAATGCTGTGGTGTTTCCTGAAATGCTGTAGCGTTTTCTGAAATGCTGTGGTGTTTTCTGAAATGCTGTTTTGGTTTGCACTTCAGGGCCACCATAGAGATGGGACATGGTCACGTACACTGTAAAGGGTCCAATCATTGCTTGTGTCATGTTGACCTGTTGAGCACTGGTAAAGGGAGACACAAATTCTCCAACATGATCAGGGGCCTTTCTCATTTCCCCTCCTCGACTCCTCGAATCCTCGTTCTTCCGGTAGTGACCCGGAAATGGATTTCAGCGCCCCATGTTGTTGAAGGACATCTCATTTCTCTAAATGCACTTCGAGGACCGAGGATCGAGCATCGAGGAGGCTCTTTGGAGGAGCTATAATCGAGGATACACTGATGGGTCCTCCGCGGATCTTCCGCGGATGTATTTCAGGCAACAGTGATGTTTAAAAGAGTCGTGACGCACGGCCGGACTTATCTCAGCCAATGACAGCTCTGCATGCATCCCCTGGATATTATTTTATTATATATATCCTTTATTTAACCAGGTAAAAGACTCATTGAGATTATAATCTCTTTTCCAAGAGTGACCTGGCCAAGAAGGGCAGCATGAACGAAGTTACAACAGATAAAACACAGACAAGACAGGCAGACAAATACAGCTGTAAAACACAAATAAAATGGCACATTAGCCAGTCAATATGCGAAGTA